AGTAATGGATGCAAATAGAATTTCATTTTTGTTTGTTCAGCATCTCATTACTTGGCTTTTCATTCACATCGTTGCATTTACTTTCATCTCAGTTTGCATCTTTTATTTTAGTTTCTTTGTAGTACTTTCCAGGCCTCAAAGTCACTCTTGTATTTTATCTTTATCTGGAACGTCAATGTGTTTCAGCTATTTGACTAAAAGTCTGAAGTCAGCGTAAAATAGTGTAGCCTGTGCTTCACCAATTTTCTACGCTATACTACCCCTACAGAAATATCACGAGAGATTCAAGGGAAGAAGATTTTCTGTTTTCTTGATAGTGTCATCTTGAGTACTAGTATATTGAGAGAAGGCAGACATGTCTGATACAAAGGACATCATCCGTTGGATCGACAGGATCAGGTGATTTATTGTCAAACACGTCAATGAATATTACGACGACGGTTGGTTCCTCGGGAAGTGGACAAAATGGATCTCCCCCAATAAAAAGGAACGAGGTTGTGTGGAATGATTTGATCAGGGTATGAGGTGTGTTTTTATTGTCCTGCGCCATTGTTCGTACATGTGTTGGAGTTTCTGTTCCCAGGTGTTGAGATGATTAATTGTTTGAATTGCATTATTCTACTAGTTATTCGGCTTGACTTTATTTGCGTTTCCAGTAAACAAGACGATTGGATTATATTGATCAGTTTATTCAACAATGAAGTCATCGGTAAACAAAAGCGATTCACGCTTTTTATGTTAGGTGGTTCGTTGAAGTTTAAGTAAGCACCATTTATATTATTATCTGAAGTGGTCTATTCATTATTATCACGCAGACCAGTTAATGAGAGCACGTTGTTTATCAAAACGCTTACATTGTTGTTTTAACCATTTAGCTCCATGGTTTAACCGGATGCGTGTCACACAAGTGTTCGATGAATGGAGACACCAGAATTTCACAACTTGGGCATATTGACTCAGTTCCAGTAGGAATTACATATAATTCCCTCACTTCAATATTTTAAGACGCAATTCAGAATTTCCATGTAACAGCCGAAAACCTCAGCACACAGTTGCCTGACGGTGAATAAAGACAATCGATAATAGCATGTCGGGGCTATAGGCGATTTCAATGAATATAGATTTAGAACGTCAATATGTTTCAACACTCGTAACAAGAAAATATGCCGCTAAAACATCAGAGGCGAGGACTTATTTTTATTATTTCACACAGTTCTGATTGATCTAGCGGCCAGACTCGCTCGCAACTGCTACGTTTAGTGTACACACATACAAATAGCATCGTAGACATTCAGAATGTCGATACACTTCAACACGTGTAACTTAAAAACAAGTGGCTAGGACATCGGACATAATTAATTATTTTATTTCACACAATGCCGAATCGATGTAGCCATGGAACTAAAAACCATGATGTAGCTAGCACTCGCAACTACATACAAATCGCCACTCGCAACTGCCACTTTCTAGCGCTCGCAACTGACACGTTTTTCTACTTGCGACTCGCACCTCACCACTCGCAACTGGTGTATTTATGCACCCTTACATACCTCACAAACGACAACAACTGTTCTATGGAGCAAAATGCGTTGACATTAGCGCCCTCATCGGTGAATATGGCATAGGCACAAGATTGATACGATTTTTTATAGATAGAGAAAGGATGTGTACAGTACAAAATACTCTCACCTTTACAGTGCGACATGTCACCTTGACTCAGTTGAATCATGGAAGGTAGTGGTTGAATAAACGACTCATCCGTTGTGGATATACCCAAGTAGTCAGGAAGTGACGTAATGGTCGTGTATGACTTAGTCAAAGGTGACTTTGTTTTATTTGACGTCAACACAATGGGTGCAGAGACGGGATAATGGAAGATTCGATACAAGTGGAGAACCGAATTGTGGGTAGTCAAAGGAATCTGTACTTGTACGTATAGGTGTCGTTTCGTTTGGTGAAAGACAACTATCTTATTTTTATAATAATATGTCAAGTCCTCGTGCGCCAAATGAAATTGAGGATACCGCGATTGCAGGTATGATTTGGCTTGAGATATTCCTTTTCTGAGCTGATGGTGAGATATAAGTTTCACCGGTAATAATCCCTCAATCAATGCATGCATAGCCGGTAAGTGAGTTTGATATTTAATAATTAAGTTAGTTAGGGTCTGAGTCCTCTCTGAGTTACGTAATAGCAGTGCTGTGAGTCCTGCAAGAGCCTTCGTTTGCAGTGTGTTTTGTAACACGTGCGTCGCAGTGGAATTCAATGCTTCGTGTAGACGGGTTAAGTCCCCAGCAATGGACGAGATAGTATTGTGGGTAGAATTTAATTGTTTCCACAGATTGAGAATTCTTCTGTCCGTGATTTCCGAAATTGAATTAAGTTTTAAGTTGGCGTCATTTAGTTGTTCGTTAAATGAATAAGACGCTTTCTCAACGGAAGCAATGTGTTGCGAAAGTACTTTTAATTGCTTGTCCGTTGTGATGCCAAACAATTTATTGGCAATGGTACCAACGAAGTCGATCAGGCCTCTCTTCGAACGAATAGACTCAGATAGGTCGATCGGATCAGGTTTTCCCAATAGTAGTATTTCTTTGGACAAAGATTTGATTCGTAATAGTGCGTTTTGTGCGTTGTCATGGAATGTATCTGTGATAGACGAATATTGCTGACAAAACGTAGGATTTGGTGATGAGCATGGATTGATGGTCAAAGAATTCAGAAATAGGAATTTTGGGGATTACTCGCTTCTGCAGTGTAGGGATACCATAAGACCTTATAACGGAACACTAAAGTCGTTCACACACCCATGTAGTCAGACACAGTCAGTTTCTGGAGTTGAGCTTCGATGTTCTTTAATATTAAGACACGTGAGACACCCCTTGCTAGGTTATCGTAACACTCCGTCAAGACCTGCACCTGGTACGACGTCCCAACGTCCCCGGATTCCCTTTCCCCCCTCCCCATTTAAGCGTTGGCGAGAAGTCAGTTCACACCTGCTGGCACATGAATTCACACTACGTGGACAAATTGTAATGCAGGAACAAAGAAATTTGAGTCGGCGTGGGTTCCCACGCCTGCTTCCGTTTTCGCAGTGCGCTGTTAAAATGCCAGCATGATGCAAACATGACAACAGCAATGTGGCTGGCAAAAACACAAGTATATAGTTCTTAGCTACTGATCGGATGGAACTTTAACTCTGTATGGAGGCCGGCGATTGGACAATAGCCGGTGCATATTATAGTGCAGACGCTTGTTTTTATACAAACTGTTCTGTAACATTTTTGTTTCAGGTTGTGTGTTTGTGCTTGGCGAACTGTAGACGCATGTGTCTCTGCTTGTAGATATGAAAGAATTGAGGGACACACACATAAACACCACCTAGTATTCCCAGGTTGAGGTGGGGTTTATTATAACGACCTTTTTATTATTTAATTAATTTTCTAATATTTTG